GGAGGAAGTCCACATTTTACACATGACCGAGACCCTGTTAGGGTATTTGTTTGACCGCCATAATATGGGGACGAAGTTCGGAGGAGAGCCAAAAATCCTGACCTGTACAGACAGTGGCGACTACTAACCTTGCGGGCCTTAAACCCTCAGTTTCATGACACCCTGTCCCACTCCCCCTGGAAAGTGGTAGAAGAATTGATTGTATGGCTTGTAAGCTAGAACTATGGGCAGAGAAATCCGTAAAGGAACTCGAATAACAGGGGAAATTGATTGCAGATAGGCTGAACATCTAAACACATGTGATGGCAACAAGGTTACTGAAATGTTACATCAGGCCTGTTCTGTTGTATGGCAGTACGTCTTGGAATGTGAGCGATCAAATTAGGAAGAGTTTGGAGGTAGCTGAGATGTGGTTCTTGAGAATAATTTTGCTAATACCTTGGACTGCCAGAATAACTAACAGTTATTGCCTAGAAATGGCTGATGAAAGTAGAACATTATATACAACAATAAGAAGAGACAAACAAAGTTCTTTGGTCATGTGATGAGAAAAGAAGCACTGGAAAATATTGTGACGACTTGAAAGATCACTGGTGGAAGAGTGGCGCGGTGATTTATGTCACAGGCGTGAGGGGAAGTTAAGTCCAACTTGATGTGTATAAGGAGATACTCCGTACGTCACTCGGGCGCCAGTCCTTTACTATCCTGGTTGTACGGAACCTCACGCAAGACCCCTACAGCACGTCCTCGTCGTGCGCCACGGATAATGTCTCAAATGAGCATTAACAGAGCTGTCAGGGGATCTCGGAGTTCGGCGGCCCCCAGAGGTGATGTGTCCTTGTGGCTCTCATCAGCCCAACCCCAAACGCTTGGGTGAAAAATGTTACCAAAACTCATTAGGAACATGAGTAGGTCTGCCAAACGTACAGCCAAAATTACAACCCTTGGTTAAAAGACTGCGGAGTAAAGAGAACATTGCTCACTGCACATCCTCTGTTAACCCTCAGTGTCGTCGCCACCGCGCTGAGGTACACCACAACAGCAACCATCCATAGGCTGGCCATCCTTGTACATCCTCGGTTAACCCTCAGTGACGTCGTCACCGCGCTGAGGTACACCACAACAGCAACCATCCATAGGCTGACCATTCATGTACATCCTCGGTTAACCCTCAGTGTCGTCGTCACTGCGCTGAGGTACACCACAACAGCAACCAACCATCGGATGGCCAAGCCTAATTGTCTGACAAAACTAGATCATACGGATCAAAATCTGACCATCAAAATTTGTATTGAACTGAAAAAGATCGAATGTCCACACCCAAAGACCCCACTCACCCGAGTGTTGGGACAAAACTGATAACGATATGCCTGATGCAGGACGTAAAATTCTGTCGGGCTAACGGCTCGTCAAAGAAATTTAACGTGCGAGGAAAAAAGAATGTACCTATCTGCGTGGTCACAAAAGTCCAAAACCCACGGGCTGCTCCCCGCTGACTTCCAGAGGGCGCAGCCCCTGTCGAGCGGGAGGCCTGATACGGTTGTGAGGTTAAGCAGGCATGTGCAGGACGTGACGATTCCTTGGGTGAGCCCAGAATCAGAGCACCATGTGCCGGCTCTGCATGCATGGAAGCCTCCTTGGATGGCGGGGAATGCCCATGATCTGCCTCTGCCTTCCCTTGAGGGCTAACTGTTCCACGGGGGGCTGCCCCAAAGGGGTACTCCGAGGGCAATACCTGCGGCGAAGGGGACAAAGTGGACACCACACAAATCAGGCAACGTCACGACCCACACAAAACTATGGCCACAGTCAACCTAGAAATAGGCCTGACGTCTTCCTTCGAAGTCGGAGTACAGCTGCCCATGAGGCAGGGAAATGAAAAACGGTTGTACACGCAAAAATCAGGTCCAGGTGAAAGCCAAAAGTCCAAGCGGACGATTAACCGGGACCTTCCACTGGAATTCACAGCCGGTGATCGATAATAATAAATAAACTGGTGGAAGAGGCAGGCCAAGAGAAATGATGGTGGATGGTTTAAGACAGTGGCATGGAGGAATATCATCAGTGGAATTGATCCCGAACACCAAAGAACAAGATCTGTGGAGATGCATGAACGCCTACGCCAGCTGGCAAGGCACTTGATGATGATGAGTTCACAATACAAGCCATGCTTTCCAATAAGGTTTTCAGGGCCCTATTTTGGGGAATTCAAGAGTAGACCTAAAAATTCCCTAAAAAGTATGTCAAAAAAAACTGACTAATTGGGGGCTTCCTTTGAAGTCAGAGTACATCTGCTGGAGAGGCACAGAATGGACAGTCTACAAACAAGTCAGATCTGTAAAACATATGTAAGTGCAACACTCAGGTTCTGGAGCAAGACTAAAGTCCAGAGGTGGACAAACAACCAGAACTTTCCACCAGAGTTTAGAGCCAGTAAACGTGAAGAAGAAGGGAAACCACACTGGGCACCATTAGAAAGCATTCTAAATAAAATCTACAGCATACATATATACAGTATACACTAGGGCTGTACTGAATAGTGATTTTCACTATTCGGCTGAATACGAATAACGGGACCAACTATTCAGCCGAATACGAATAGTGTATAGTGTATAAAGTATATCTGTAGAAAAACCACATTTATAATGTAAAATGTATGCTGAACTTTTACTTCACATAAAGTAGCACAGAATAGTTATCTTCTTCTTTAGCATTCTGAGCCCTTGAGGTTTACTACTGCAGATATCACTCATCTCCATTCATCTCTCTAGCTGGCCTTATCTTTACAATTTGTGACACCAGTTATTTGCAGGTCTGACTGGACATTATCTCTCCAACTTCTTTTTTGTCTGCCTCGTGGTCTACGCTCATTCCTCTTTCAGATGTATACAGTTTTTACTTCTCTGTACTTAGAAACTGTCACTGACAGCTTAGTTAATGCAGGACAGCTGCATTAGCTGTTAACAAAACCAATCATTCCATGTTGTCAGTATTAAGGCCGTGTATACAGAAGCGGGTGTAAGGTAACTACTATTCGTATTCGGCCCAACCGCAACTATTCGGCAGAATATCGAATAGTCAATAGGTCCACTATTTGGCCCCGAAGCGAATACGAAGCGAATATTCGGTACAGCCCTAGTATACACAGAAATCAATTAATCTATAGTAAGTTGCCGGACACTAAAAGAATTAAAATATCCTTATTCATGTAGAGTATAAGATAGACACTGGTTTTAATAATATTACAATTTTCAGGTGTCAGCGAAGATGTTGGCAAGTCACCCTCATATTCACTTGGCAGTTCCTTCACCAACAGCCCGGAGGGTGCAGAGTCAACACATCTACACTCTCATGACCAAACTTTTGAGAACGACCAGTTCAGGGAGCATTTCCCTTCCTTTAGTTATGATACACTGTGTAAACAGAAAGAAGCAAACAGTCACTTGTTGGAGAGAGGAATACACTCTGTGAGTTTTTCCCCATTTGATATGGGGAATTTATTTATTTATTTATTATAATGATTTAATTGCTTAAGCATCTCCTATCAAAGAACTAATGCACCTCCTTCCGTCCACTGGCCTTTGGGACACAGCTGGGCAAGGCGTGTACCCGTTCAGTGCCCCAACCAGTCAAAGCAAAGGAGCCTTTGCACTGCAGTGGCACATGAAGCATATAGTGACAGACCCCCTTTTGTTAATGGAATGAACAGTACTCAACTGCTGATGTGATAAACATTATGATGGCCCTGTTTACTTCCCATGACATAACCTAATATCCATTTTAGTCTTTGTCGACCAGAAATCCCAGTTCCTTTTTTAAAATCTGCTTTGAGTAAAAAAAAAAAAGTATAGGACCCTTTTCCACGTCTTTAGGTGTATAGGGCTAGACCTATATTTTAAAGACCATCGGCACAAGATGGGTGATGTGGTCAGCATCACGCCGGCCGCCTCTACTTCCCGGGACTGCACCTGGTACCCACTCAAGGCTGGGTCAACCTGCGAGCCAAGGTCATTTTTTAAGAGAAGTCTGGCTCCGCCAGGGAGCGAACTCACAACCTTCCGATCCGCGGCGCGAGTCTAGCCGCTCTGCCATGGCGACTCCCAGTCTGCTTTGAAACAAATTTGAACGCTGTGGGTCAGAAGCCAATATCTAGCAACTATACGGCTTTACCTCCCTGTGTTCATAAATATATTATCATTTTTCTGTAAATATTTAATGAACATAATTCCCTAATTAATACATGAATTGATGTAGTGAATTGATACATGACAAGGCAGCTGTGGTCAAGGCCCTTTGCGAACAAGCAATGGAATCAGTAGAGAAAGAAGATTATTATGACCTGGAGAGAATGAGGCACCTGGGTGTAACCAGACGGTCTGGCCGGCTCACTACACTTAGAGGAAAGGCATGACAGACTTTTAACCAGATTGTGACTGGTACCATCAGTATTGAAACTCTGCGCTGGCTGCTGAAGATGAGCACGGAGCATGCATGGGAATGCCCTGAGTGCTGTGATGTCAGTTCTTGACTCAACTCAACTCAATTCCATAATTATAACTCAGCAATCATTATTCCATAGCTGTAAGTATATAGTCATTGCTGTTAGATACGGTGAGCTAGAGGACACAGAGCTGGCTGCTGTTTCAGAGGACAGAGCATGAACTCTTCTAGAATGTCGATACAGATAACAAATAAGTAATTATAAACATGACTCTATGGTCATGACCAGGGCTTTTTTGTTTATTTATTAAACAATTATTTTTTTTTTTCTAAAAATTTATTTAGAAAAATGGTGCAGATACTCACCAAAATGTGACTATTGCAAAATGATAGCTAACAAAAGTGCCCATACTGAGCACTGCCAGAATAAAAGCACTGATTGTGACTTTTTAATCATAACTGAACTACCACAATGAATGACATAATAGTTTGCTTCATGTCCTTTTCAGCTGTCAACTGGTAGGGATCTCACTGGAACTTTCTATAGATCTGCACACCAGTACGGAGCAAATATCAGCAGCACCAACACAAGTACACTGCCAAGCTGCGACGCTTCAAGTGAGAGTTTGTCTGTTTATGGTCATAAATTTAGTATGACGTCCCTGCAGCTTAATTTGACTTCTTCTTCTTCTTCAAGTCCTACTGCTTATGCCATAAGGCATAGTAGAGAGGTACTATAGTTTCTTGCTTTTGCTAGTTTCCTAGCTTGTGTTAATGTAACATTGTGTTCCTCCCTGGTGTAGTTTCCAGAGCCCCACTTGGGGGGGGGGGGGGGGGGGACCTACTACCTCACTAGCAATTATGTCATGTAATGTGACTAATTAGGGATTTTAGTTCTGAAGTCAGAGTAATATGCCAGATTGGCAAGAGACCAACAGTCTGCATACAGATAAGCTACATCTGTAAAACAGTTGTGCATGCAAAATTCAAGTTCTGGAATAAGACTGAATCTAGAAGTAGACGAACAGCCAGAATTTTCTACCAGAGTTTACAGCCATTTAACACTAAGAAGAAGATACTGCGTTCCTATAGTGTCTCTTTTACTCCCTCCGCCAGTCTCTTACCTTGTATCCTGCAGTTTTCATGTAGTATGCTCTAGCTGCTGGCTCTGATTTGATTCAAGAACCAACGTCACAGAACTCGGGGCATTCCCATAAGCGCTTCATCCCCATCTTAAGTAGCCAGCGAAGAGTTCCGATACTAATGGCACCAGTAGCATTCTGATTAAACATCCGTCTTGCCTTTCCTCTGAGCCTTGAGCATCTGACAGAACCTCTCATCACTCCCTCCTGCATCAATCTCACTAGGCTGTGGTGATCCACCTGCTCCTCCCAACCGTACATGCTCTCCCACAAGGCACTAACAACGCGTGCTTTATCATGTATCAGTATTCCACCAAGTTGTGCAGAGCCAGCCAGTCTGTCTGACTGTTCATTTCCCAACACACCGTGATGACACAGTGAAAAAATCCAGACAATACTCCTCACCCGTGTCCTCTGCAGCGAAGCATACCACTCTGCACGAAGCATGCCTGTCCTGATCTTCCTCAGCATGCTTTCAATTACAATCACAATGTGTGTGTGTGTGTCATGTTCTGTAACCAGAGGAAAGCTTATTTTCTGAGTTCTGATTAGATGACCAAACAGTTTACAGCTACTGTGTCTACCATTATTCTTAGTTCCTGAGTTTTGACCCCTGTTTCTTGTTCACAAATACAAGTGTTTGGGAGAACCTTGGGGGCCATCACTAATAATAGCGAGTTTGGACTTTGTGTGAAGTTCTTGGAGGATGATCTCAGGCTCTGCACAGAGGGACACAGTATAAAACTCAGTGCAAAGATATTATTCTTCTCGTATTTAAATGCCCATTATATTCTAAAAGTTTTAAATTTGCTACTTCACAATTTATTAATGTGGTAATTAAATATGAAATTGCATTTCTTTGTTTTTTTTTTCTTTCTTTAGAACAAGGTCATCCAGTTATCAGACAGAATGACCCCACCCATAACATGGCCCCTCCATCAGAAGTGGACCAGATCAACTTTTTAAGAAGGCCACTTTTCTCTCCAAGCCATTCTGTTGCAAATGTTAATCAAGAGCTGAAGAACAAGGGATCCTTATTAGCCAGTACTAACCCTACAATTTCAGTGACAGATAATGCTGATGGTTTTAACCCTTATGAACCCACCTTTCAGTCAAGTCATCTGAAGTTTAACCGACACAGTAGTCACTATTCACTGAGTGTCTTGGCTGGAAATCAAAGAGAATATAAAACAGGAGAGACAGGTAGAAATGTATATTCTCCCCAAGGATTTGCCACAACTCAAGGCTTCAGAGAAGCTCCTAAGCATTCTTCTACTGTAGAGTCTGGTAAGCCTTTCACATCTTTTAGAAATTTTGTTGCTAATAGTTCACAAGATTTTAGTGTGCCCCCACCAGTTGGCTTGCCCCCAATGACCTGTTCATCTCTGCCAACTGGTTTGTCCCTACTGATTGGTGCACCTCCACCAGCCAGCGTTTTCCCACTGACTAGCACTTCCCTACAATACCAGCCTCAGCAACAGGCTATTGCCCAAATTGCCGAGTCAGTAGAGATGATAATCTGTTGTAAACAATGTAAGGAAACCCACAGATGGCCGCATGTTCTACGCTGCCTCCACGTGTTCTGTTTCCCTTGCTTGGTCACTAAATTTAACCCTGCTGATCAGACTATCATTTGTCCAAGCTGTCATTTGGAAACATCCATGAAAGATGGCCCTTGTAGTTTGAAGATGGATGTTCATGCTTCAAGAATGATGCTTTCTCAGAACATCTCCCCATTTACCTGCACAGCCTGTAGCCGGGGCCAGGATGCCGTTACATGCTGCAAAACCTGCATAGCTTATCTTTGCCGCAGTTGCCAGGATGGGCATCAGAATATAAATCAATTTCTAAACCACACGCTGGTTCCTATCACCAAGATGCGTAAAAATGCTGATGGAGTATACACTCACTTCTGTGACCTGCATCCTTCACAGCAATTGACAGATTACTGTTGTGTCTGTAAAAACATGATCTGTATAGTGTGTCGGCCAGATCATAATCATCCTGACAATGCTAACTGCTGCATGAGTATGGCTGAGGCGTTTCAAACTGTTGCTGAAGTACTCCGTAGATACAACCACGACTCTGATGTCAAGGCTGACGATATGTTTGGAATAGCTAAGAAGGGACCATTGTCAAAAAGGGAGTTGGATCAAATGGGAAGAAAGGTATTTAAACTAATTGATGATTATTGTAATTATTCCCGTGCAGTAATAGAGCAGAATCGAGAGCTCGCTCTTAAGCAAGTGATGGCAACCCTCTTGCACCTGGAGCAGAAATCCAAGACTGTGGCCAGTGATGCATATAAGGCTTGTGAGGATATGAAGACATACAAGGACTTCACCAGCCGTACTATGAATATGAGCGTTCCAGAAGATACACTGATGTATTTACAAATTATGGATGAGGCATACAAAAGAAGTGTTATTTCCTGCTCAAAAGTCACAAAAGAAAATGAACACATCCAGGGTGAGGTGACATTTACTCCAGACTACAAAGAGACACATGAAATCTTGAGCCATAATTTAGCTTGTATATACCATGACAACCAGCTAGTGCCAGATGCTAACCTCTTACCTTACATGGAGGAAAGTCACAACCCTAGGAACCACATAGCTTCAGTTGAGAATTCCAACCACAGATATCGGAGCCGGTCGGTCACCACTGAAACCATGCCTATATCTACTTGGAACTCCGTGACTGATGGTGAGAGAAAGAATGGTACATTCATCTCTCAGTTGAACCGCTGCCGAACTAAAACCTCGTATATTCACACTTTTGGGGAGTCTGGTCAAGGTGAATATTCTTTCACAGAACCTAGTGGCCATGCATACATGAAAGATGGCTCCTATGTTATTTGTGACACCAACAACCACAGAATTGTTCATTACAGTGCCAGCCATGAATATATACGAACGATTGGCCAACCTCCAAGCCTGCCCCCAGTGGTTGGTGGGCCTGACGGTCGCAGCCGAGGAAAGTTTTCACGTCAAAATGGCTACCTGTATTTCCCCTACAGAGTTGCCATCTGTCCTGTTACCCAGAACATTGTTGTCACAGAAAGATCACCGAGTCATGATATCCAAATATTCTCACATGCTGGAACTTTTCTGCGATGCTTTGGTGGCAACATTCTTCAGCATCCACGTGGTGTAACTGTCGATGAAGAAGGCAACATTATTGTAGTAGAATGCAAAATTATGAAACTAGATATGTTTAACCAGAATGGCCACTTGTTCGCAGCATATCCTCTCAGCAAAGCTTTACAATTTCCCAATGATATTGCTGTTAAGGACAAAAAGATTTTCATCAGCGATAACCTAGGCCATTGCGTCCATGTCTTCAACTATAAGGCAGAATTTTTATATAAAATTGGCAGTGAATATGTCACTTACTTCCCGATTGGAGTGTCCATCAACCACCTCAACCAGGTCGTTGTTACTGACAACCACAACACCTTCAACATTACTGTCTTTGACATGGCTGGAACTGTCCTGCACATTTTTGAATCTGTCAGCAAACTGGCCCAGTGCCATAATGTATCCGTTCACCCTACAAGACTCGAACTGATGCTTTCCACAAAGGACTGTAGTACCTACTTTTTTAGCTATGATCCAGAAGGTACACACGCCCTGAAACCTCCAGCCAGCCACAAGTCTGGTAATGCTGTCATCAGAACTGGCAGACATTGATAGAAACACAAATGACACTGATAAAGCCATTTTTCCTACTGAGATATTGCCCTTTCTTTGATGAAGTTTGGGTCTGTCAGTCTCTTTGTTTTCATTTTTATATTGCTTACAAATTAATATGCACATTTTGTAACTGTTTATTTTCTTGATTGGCAATAACCACACTGCACATTTTGTCTGTTTGAATCAGAAACTTATCATCAGTATGTTAACTTCATTATCCGCAGTTACATTTCAGGTCATAGGTATTTCAGGTTTCCAACCCACTGCTAGAGAAAGAATGTGAGAAAATTAAAACTAAGCCTGTTGTGGAGTAGGTTGCAATGTCATATTGTTTTTTTAGGGCATCCATACAATGGCTAGAGTTTACTAGAAATTTTCCTCACATGTTCCTGAGCAGGTGTCGCGCTGTACAGGCCAAGATTTTCTGAGAAACTAATTCTAGAGGACCAAACACAATTCTGACAGTTTAAACCATGCCCAGCCGTTGGTAGTTTAGCCCATTCTGTTAAACAATTGCAAAGCTGGATATTGTGTGCATTTTTAATCTTCATTTTTACCATAATTTTAATATTTCTTATGAATGTTTTGCAATTTTTATGAATGTTTTGAAATTTTATGAAAGTTTTGCAATTTAATGAATGTTTTGCAATTTTATGAATGTTTTGCAATTTCTTTAATGTTTTGCAATTTTATGAATGTTTTGCGATTCTCATCTAATGTTATGTGTATTTTTATGAACTCAATTCTATTATTTATTATGGCTGTGAGATCTTTCAGCTGTTAATGTAGCGGCAGTATAGGTGTTGAAGTGTAGGAATTTATAAAAGAAGGGAAAAACGTTGGGGTTGCTTTGTTAATTGTTAGTGAAGAATATGTACATTTTAATAACCTAATTGACAAATCCTGAAGTCTCAGTGAATATTCCTTCAACATCTGTTTATTGATTTTAAATTAGCTGTGGGATTTTGTTCTTTTACGATGCCTTTTATGATGTTTATGTTGACTATGAAACTTTATATGGCACAGATTGTCTCACATGTTCACTGTTGGTTTTTCTACTTATTATATTTTTCAGTTGTTGGTGTTAACACATACATAACGGTGGCATGATTATAGGCAGTCCTATTTCCATCCATGTCGTTAAACTTGGCAGAAGTAAAATAATCCAAATTTACTGTCAGACTGGTATTGTTTTGTTGAACAATTTTCTTAATTTTTATCCAGTTATCTCTCTTTGTTAAACTTCCGTGATATTGTTACTATATTTAGACTTTTTACTGCCTGTTTTCCCATGTCTCTTTTTTAATCAGTATTACAGTTGTTAAAGATATCCACATTCCAAAAAACATTAATTACATTAATTAGTAATTATAAATGAAGACACTGCTTGCCAGTGCAGTCGCAGTAACAACAAGGTAGGTCTGCATTCTCTGTAAATATGTAAAGAAAGAGCCAAACAATTCTTTAAAAAAACTTTCTAGTGACAAACCAGAGGTGCTGAACAAATACTTACCCTAAGTATAACTAACACTTCTTGTCCTTTTTTAGGATACAATTTTTCATTATTTGAAGCCCTACTCTGGCTCTTGCCAGGGGCTGCAATATAGCCTGGCCATAAATATGGCCTAAAGGCTGAATGCTGTTTCTGGGACCTCTCCACGGTGATCCTCACACACATGGTGGCGCATTGTGTCGTCGGGTGTTTATCGCTTGTGTGATGTCCTGGTGGGGTAGAAAGTCAGTCAGTCAGTCAAAATACTTTCTGCTTAAACGAAATCTAATAAAAGTTCAACATTGTTTATTTCTGACATGTAGAATTTTGAAGAGTCACTTAGTTGAATTACATGTGGTTGTGTATTGTTACATACTGTTACATGTTGACTGTTGCCCATTTACCTCATGCATATATTGAGACTTGCATAAACCACCTCTATTTACATTTGCAGTTGTAACCATGTATTTCTTCATTTATTATTCCTAAATTAAAACATACATTTTATAATATTTGAAGCCGTAACCACACATTTCTTTTCATTACTCCCAGTATAAATTAATGAAATTTTTTTTTAACATTTACTTTGTAAGCATTTGCCTCATCATTTAACTTCCAATTTAATACATACACTTGTTCATATGTAGAATAAGAACTACATACTTTTATATTGTTATTTTTTCATATGTGCCTTTATATTGACTTGTCTTATTTATGAGATAATTTCTTTTTCGTTTTAGTACAGATAAGTTAACGCAGACATATACAAACTGTTTTTACATTTGCCTGTTGTTACATTATGATCTTTTTTAAACTACCTTCAAAATTTTTAGTTTTTAAAGTTACATGATCAGTGCATATGGTTTAGGCATTGCAGTTATGCTTTCTAATTTTTGAAATACTACTTTTCACAAGGCAATTTTATGTTCAGCCAGCAATGGCAAACTACTAAATGTAATAGTGAGATCATAAAAAACCCAAAAAAATGTCAGGGCTGGTTCTGCAATGCCCTGTAAAGGACACGCACGTAGCTTAGTGCTGGAAAAGTTAACAGAGTAAATAAATGATCGACTTACCACTGAGATGTCTCTGTATATAATTGTTATTATGTGTCACAATTAAAACCAAATTATTCCTTTCTGCAGCATAACTAAAATAACTTGTTCACCGTTTTGTAACTTTTAAACTAGTGTTGACATATCTTTGTTACATTTTTACATATACAGTTCCGTTTTTTGGGGGGGGGGTTGGATTGTTACACATTGTTATATTTTTTTATGAAATACAAATACATGCATTCATAATTTATCATGACAAATTGCAGTTTTGTAGATGTGTGTGTGAACATGATTTAGTTCTCATTGCTTTGTTTTTACTAATCCTTTGGTGAGGTAGTAGTCAGATGGTTTTTAGTATTTCTTTGGACATGATTTTATGCTACAGACAAGTATCATGACCATCATCTTGTGCCTTGTCAGTTGGCATGGGCATTCATAACTCTCCAGAACTATACGTCCTTAGTGTTCTGGATCTGCCCTGTTGAGGGCATTTCTCTATACCTTTATCTTAGTCCATCTACCATCCTGATGCCTGTTTAAATGTTTGTCTACCTTTCTTTTTCTTGGAGTACAGTGGTACAGTGCAGTGTCAAGATGTTTTCCAAAGTTGTTGGATTCTACTTCACAGGCACGGCTAATGATCAGTTGTTTCTAGGCTCAAGGGCTTGTTTAGCTTACTGCATGATGATATTATTGAATTTCAGTAATTTGTTAACTCCATCTATCAATATTTTCTTGGTCTTCCCCCGTATCTTGATATTTCCTTTCTCATTTTGCATGCTCTTGCAACTGGTGATGCTTTGATCATTCTAACTAGGTGGCAAAAACAATTTCAGTTTTCGTTTAAAAAAAAAATCTAATTACAGGTGTAGTTCCTACCAGTCTTATGATATTTACACTAATACCCCTGACCCCCCCCCCCCCCCCCCCCATACACCACACATGTCATACATGTTTATCATTTATCACACAAAAACACCACACATGTCATACATGTTTATCATTTATCACACAAAAACACCACATACGTTACAGATGCACAAGTACACCACACAGCTCAACCCAAAATATGAATGCCATACAATAAAACATCTACTAGCAGTTCATTTTTGGGAGTCAAATAATTACCTTTTTTTAAATTGGCATAGCTTAATCTGTTGTTTAATACAGTTGCTTCAGCTCTAAAAATGTAAATTTTTTGTACAAAAACTAAATAAATTTCAGAGCCTACGTCCGTTGCTGAATGAAGTTACACGGGTATTACTTCATTCTTCTTTGGCTAGCAGACTGTGGTTTTGGTTACATAGATGGACTCTGATAATTTTCTAAGCATCTGCTGACAACTTCTTCCATCTTGTGTTTGAGGATTCGGAGAGTAAAAACTGCTTATATAAACATCAGTGTAGATGAGACACTTGTAACGTGTGTTTTGCCATTACGCTATAGCAAAGACCTGTCACCTAGAGGTCACAAATGCGGTTTTTAACTTTAAAAATGCCTAGTTCAGTTCAGCACGGGCAATTTGGCAGCAGATGACTGAAGATAAAATGGCCTAGTCTAACCACAACTGCTGACAAACATTTTAGTTTGCAACATCAAGTAAAGGGATACACACCAAACATTATAGCATTTTTATTATGAGGCATTCAGTCAGGGCCATTGACAGTTTTGAACTTGTGATGGGCCCTGTCCTCGAACTAAGTTCAATTGCTTGCTTGCTGCTTGTAAACTATTTTCAGCAGTCATTCTTAATCTTTGTACAGTAATTTCTCATCCATATCTATTTTGAGATTGCTTTAAAAGTTTGAAGTGGATTTTATTTGTCCCAACTTTGAGATTTAGCAGTTGAAGGGCAAAAATGTTAAATTCTGTGCCTACTATTTTTTTTTTCTTTGCTTATTAGTTCTTATTGTACATCTTGATGATTTTACATGATGGATGATTATATATGATGTTGTAATTTGTTGGTAATGAGCTGACCATAGTTAGGAACTGACATCAGTCAGTACAGTCTCATAGACCGTGTTTTATTCAGAATGATGCAGATATTTAGGATAAGATAAGTTGTAATAGGATCAGATTGTGCCTGCAGTAAGAGATTTTAAAGACTTTAATTTGTTAGAATATGATTTTGGCTGTGGAATGAGATGTAAAATCTAAAGTTAGTCATAGTACAGAATGTTATAAGTTTATCATAGTATCATATGTTATAAAATATAATATTTTTGTTAGTGTTGGATGTTATAAAATGTAATAATTGTGTTAGTGCTGGATGTTACAGAATCTTAGGATTGGCTTGTAGAATAGGTGATAATTAAATGGTGACTGGTATACAATTTTATACAATTAAATGTAGACTGGCAGAGATATCTGTAATGAGAGGCATGAAGATGGTGTTTATTGTATTATTAAATTTTGGTAAACAATTACTGACTCTTGACTTGTTA